ATATATAGATGTTTACAATGGGGTTAATCTAATCAAAATAAATGCTTAGATTATTAAGAAGAGTTCCTTCTTGTGACTGTTTACAGTTCACTGAGGTAAGGGTCAGTATTCCTTTCTGGTTTAGATGTAAATTTTGGCCTTAATATAGTGCTGGTCTGTTAGCCGGGGATAGGTTTAAATGTGGTTGTGTCCTCTTACCTGTTGCAGGTGCAGTTACACAGCTTTCWTTTTAGGTTGAATCAGAATAAAGGTAGTTCTTTTGTTTTAAATTGTAATGTTCTTGTTTACTTTAGGCAGTTTCCACATCTATGGTATTGGTGCAGCGCGCTTCTTCTAATTTTTGGAATTTTATTTGGATTCTTTTATGGTTACTGTCTTTTGGAGGCTTAGGTTTTATTTGCGCAGTTAGTATAGGAACAGTAGGGCTGTCGCACTACTAACTCGTATGTAGTGCTAAAAAATAATTTCAGGATGGTGTCCACTGGGTCAACGAACGTTTTAGCCATTTGTCACCAGATGCTCTTGCCAGCGTGGGCCCCACGGGGTGATCAGTTCCCGAGGTCAAGTCTTGTGTCCAATTGGGAGGTGATTTGGTGATGAATATTGTTTTAATCAAAAATGTGGAGTAGAGTTGTCAATTTGGTGGCAAAGTCTGTTAATTTAGAGGGTAAAAAATTATTTGTAAGGGTTTTTAGAAATTAGGTTTGATTCAAAGTTAAATTAGCATTGATTTTATTTAGGTTTTAGGGAGAAAGCTACAGTGTTTATCTGGCTAAAGAAAAGGAGAAAAAAATGGGGATTTGTGTGGAACCTAAGACTGGTTAGCAATCCTTCAAGTAAGGTGTTAAATAAAGTACTATTGTATCCATCGTAACATTTAAAGCAACTACAGGATATAAATTTAAAGTAAAAGTTCAGGAAGTTTGATCAGTGTTTATGACAGTGGATGTGTCAGTGTGTGGTTGAGGCTAATACTTATAGAAGACTCGGCTGCAACTAAGACTCCMGAGGCCCAGGAGTCACCTTTCCCATAGTGCTGTTCCTATAGGTGGAAACCTTGGAAGGCAGATACATACCATGCCCCTAGTTTCAAAAACACACTGTCTGTTAACACCWCTAGGTGGAACCAGTATGCCCAGGAAGCTCTGTGGTACTCTATTAAATCTCCATTGATAGTGGCCTGGTAGGCCCAAGATGTCTCTCCCAAGTCCGGGAGGGGCACTACCTGGGTCTCTGGGGGTCCATCTGCTGGTGGTTCTTGGTGTCAAAGGCAGGTGAATAAAAATTTTGTTCAAGGAAAGCTCTTAAAAGAGCTTTTTTACTGCTGCTCTTTCTAKTCGAGTCTTGATGCGCAGTTGTGTCTGCTTCGGAATCCTCCGTGTCCCACGCCAGGTCTAGTTGTTGGTTGGTCTGTTTTCTGGGGGACTAGTCTAACTGCACCAGTTAGACACTTCCTCTGGCAGTGCTGTGTTATGTGGGTTACCCATAATGCTTTGCTTTTGGGTAGGGGTATGGTTTACTGTGGTGGAGGGTCAGGATTAGTGGGTCGTCTGGTTGATTGGTTGGAGGTTTGCTGGTGTTTGATGGRTTGGTTTCAAMATTTGTGAAATAGTTATTTTTCTGTTTTAATTTCACTGTCAAGTTTTTAACTGGATTTAAAATACAGCGTTCTGTGAAGGGAGAAGAATGATTGAAGGTGTCCATTTAATTACCTCCGCCAAGGAGGTGATGTTTTCGGTTGCGTATGTCTGTCTGTCTGTCGGGATGTCGTTCTGTCTGTGGACAAAATTACTCAAGAACCTGTGGACGGATTGTCATGGCATTTTTACCATATGTGGGTATTGGCCAAAGTAACACACCTATAAATTTTGGTGAGGTTCCGGATCATGATGCGGATACAGGATTTTTTAAATTTCTTTTAACCCTCTGAGCTCGAAAGCTGTAATGCATTGACAGGGCTTCAGTAAAAAACAGTTACAGCTTCCAGTGTTCATTTGAACTGGATTGAACAGCAATTTTATTTACTTCCAAATAAAACCAGATTTAATGATGAATAATTTTTGCCATAATGTGCACATTTTTACGCATTTGGTGCGCAATTAGAGAACGTTGTGTGACCAGGAAGTGCGTGACTGCACCATGAAACCCCTTTATCCCATTTCCTMAAACACACCACATTTCCCAAACAACCAATCAAAACAGTTTCCCGGTACTAGGCTTGCAGAAAGCTTCTGGCCGGGCCTCAAAGTTTGGACATGGGAGGAGAACAGATTCATTTCGGCATTTTGGAAGCTAGGGGGTTAGTTTTTAGACCAGACAGTGTGTGCGTGTGCACGCCAAGGGGGAGGAGGTAATG